AATTCCATTTAACAAAACTTTAACATGTATTCAGGCACACAAGAGGAGGCAGCCGAAGCTTACGACGTAGCTGCAATCAAGTTCCGAGGGCCAAATGCAGTCACCAACTTTGACATCTCGAGATACGATGTCGACAAGATCATGGCCAGTAATACTCTGCCAGCTGGTGATGTTTCCAGACGAACTAGTAGTAATAACGATGATCATATTATTACTGAGAAGCCTAATGTAAGTGGCGAGTGGAAAATGGTCCCGAGTTATAATGTGGATGGAAAGGTTGAAAATGTAAATTATGGTCAAAGTAATACCACGTTCTCGGGAGCCCTGCACGACCTGATCAGTATGAATCCATGCGGAAAGTTTGCGGATGAGTCGGGAGCTAATGCTAATCTGTCGTCTATAGTGACGAGCATTGGCAGCACTAGAGAATTAGGCAGCCTAGAAAAGGTTGGTGGGGGGCCTCGTATATTGTTAACCAAGCCGAGCGGTGGTGCGATTGGCTCGTGGATTAATCCAATTTCCCCACTCACCACAGCTCACTTGCCCGTTTTTACTGCATGGAACGAGTGAACAACACCTAAACTCGTTGCGGTGAACGCTTTTCGACTTGTGGTTTTGGATGTATTGGGAAGAAATTTTGATAAAATATGGGATTTTGCTCATCTATATCATTATTATTATTATTATCATCGTTGTCTTTTTTTTTTCTTCTGTAAATAGAGGGACAATACATGGGTTCGAAGTATCTACTTTGAAAATTACAATCTGAGTCCTTACCTAAAAATAGGATAAAAACAAGAAAAATGTTCATAAAAAAGACCGATGTTAGGCGTGAATCATACATTTTCAACAAATATGCATACTTTCATATTGAAATACAATAAGAGTAATGCTATGTGTACATAATAAATACACACAGAGTTGTACATAACACTCACATGGAGTGAGATCCACTTGATTTTTAATTTTTGGTGGATCCCACTCAATGTGAGTGTTATGTACACCCCTATGTACAATATTATGTACATATAGCATTACTCATACAATAATCTGTATGAAAATATAATAAAAGAACGATATTTTTATAAAAAGTATACGATCGGCCAGTTGATCCGTCTAATGATTATGCAGTCTCACAAAAAAAAAATTGTAAACAATCATATCTTGGTCAAGATCAAAATGGAGGGAATAGAATGTGAGAGGGCACCTCTCAATGATTACATTCTTGTGTATAATTGAATCTCCTTTATTGTATGTTCCTTTCCATTTGTTCCTATCAAGTACAAAAGATTGCAAGCAAGTGTTTGCCCATAATGAAAAGGGGCTAAAAATGTTTATTTGACCACCATTTTCATTCACATCTCATCACCTTAAAGATAAATTACACAATCATATGAAGGAAATTGCTTTATTACAATTCTCTTTAGTGGAAATGCTTTTGAATTTATGGGGCATGATTAGTTTACACATTTACACTTTGTGTCCTGTGCTTATGTAGACCAGTTTTTGCTTTACAAAAGTAGGGACTTGGAAAGCAAATTTATGTCCTCTTTGGCATTTTTCTATTTTTTTTTATTACTATTGTGGATATGTAAAAATATTAAGAAATTATATCCAAATTGTAAATAATAGTAACTACTAGTACGTTACTCGTGTACGGGTGTTTTTTTAAAAAAAAAAAAGAAAAAAAAATTGTATAATAAAAAAGGGGTAAACAAAAGTGTTTATTTTCTTATTATGAAATCATAAAAATGAATAACACAACAAATAATGAATAGTCATTAGAGTAATAATTATTTAAATCACACATATTTTTACCCTCAAATTGTTAAAAAAGGATATCAATTAAGTACTTATAAATTATATATGTCTAAAATACAAAATTATTTACAAATTTAATTTTGTTTTGTTTTATAAATTATTTCCGAACATGATTATTCGTGATATGAATGTCAAAGCTAGTCAAATTTAATTAATTTGATAAATCATATTTGAATATGAAGTATAAAAAGATTATTGACTTTTAAAATATGATAACAAATAATTATGGTAATTAATTAATAAATAAATGAGAATAAACAATACAAGTTTCCTATGGTAAGATTTGATTTGGAAAATATAAAAAGGGACAAAAATAATGTATACTTACCAAAACTGTATACTTACCAAAACTGTAAATTGTTTTGTAGATTTTTGGGCAAGAGGTAACCGAGCTACCTGACTCGGGTCGTTCTCAAAGCAAGACGGTTCGAAGCTTCGTTTACTATTTAATTGTCCAAATCACAAAAGGGAAAATAAATCCTAAACATCCTAAACGATTGGTTTGAAGATGGATTAACATTAAACAAGCAATTAATTACGAGCAATAGTAAATAACGAGCAAATAACGAAACTAAACCATCGGGGTCTCATGCCATCAACACAACGAGAAGATAATCAACGATGAAGGAATAAACAAGCTAAGAGCACTAGGTCATTAAC